ATATATTTTGAAAAATATAGATAGGTCACAAAGGCTGTTTGGAGTCTGTTTGAAAAATATCACATGGTGTTGACAAATGTAGCTTGGTTTGCCAAACAGGTAAAAAATTCTTGAATGTTCAGAATCCAGGCATTATTTATGTTTTTCTGTCTGCATGGCATAGAAGAATGAATATGGAGTTTAAAAATGCAGAATAGATATAGCAATGCCCTTCTTTAAATTTGAGGGACCCTATCAAGATACTTACACACTGTTAACCAGGTTACCTATACTACTACCTACTACTCTAAAACATACTGCTATTTTGCATGGATGTGACTGAGTATTCCTCAGGAAAATAGCTGGAGAAAAATATCTTGTGCAATATTGGTATAATACTATTAGTAAGGTAGTTCTGCTTCCATGACAGTATACAATGGAAAATCCTCAAAGGTTCTGCACAACTACAGTTCCTGCTAAAGCTATTTCCACCTGTCAAGCTAGTTTGCCGAGTATTTTTTATTATTATTATTACTATTTCAAAAGCTAATTAAATAATACTTAATACATATTTTGTGAAAATTCATTTGCAATCAAATTGCAAAGACTCTCTGGAGCTTATAATTTAAGATCTAAAATGATTGTGCTCATTTCATATCAGTAGTACTTTTAAATAATTGAAAGCACTTTAAAAATTGAAGGAATATACTTCAGTGCTTGACAAACACTGAACAACCAGGGACCAGCTCAATATAAGAATCAAGACTGGAAACATGACTTCTGGTGCTTCTTTTTCTCTGCAATGGCCTCAAAGTTAGCCTGATGGCTCTCTGGGCTTTTTGCCAACACCACACACCAGATTAAAATAGAAAGAAGAGAAATAGACAACCTGGGGTCCAAAATTTAATTCTGACCTTATGTATCAGCTCTATGGGAGGCTTGGGCAAAGCAGAATGCTAATCTACCATATAAGGGGGGGCAGCACAAGAAAACTAGAAAAAAACTTACCAGAAAAATGTCTTCCCTTATCATGTGCACATTTTGGTATTATGAGACCATCGATCTTGAAAAATAATCAAATCTTCATGTATAAACATTATGTTATTCTCAGAAAGTAATATTTAATGTACAATGTAGTTACATGTCCACAGCCCACTTTCTTTCAGCATGAGATAAACTATATTTTTTATGGCTTTAACCCACTTTATTCAAACCATAGACATTTCTGTTTCAGAGATTTGTGGGTTTATGGATCTCATTAACTATGAAATATGGACAGCATATTAGAAAGCAGATTTGAAAGTCAATGATGAAAGGCTCTCTTCATTCTATCAGAAGAACAGGCTCTATATTTTCTCTCATATTTCACAGTGGAAGTTCAGTGTTCTGCTACAACATACTTGCTAATGGAGTCCTTTACAGAAACAGACTTTTTTTTTATTAAATTAGTGTATTTCACAGAATTGTTTACAAGAAGTAAACATTTTTTTTCTACATTTAAAATAATACTATAGTGTTGAGTCCAAAATGGTAAATGAGCAAACAACTTCATAAAATTTTGCAGATGCTGACTAAGTTTAACATAATTCCCTTCAAAGCTCTGTTACTAAGTCTTTTTAAGGATCACTTTTAACCTTTCAGTGGAGAATAAAAAGTATGATAAACAGTCTAAACTCTATTCCTGATTTCCTACTATAAACCCCAGTTATTAATTAGTTATGTACTAGTGTAATTAACTGCACTGGATCATTTGATTTTAAACACAAACATTAATCTGTTAAATACCTACTGATAACCTATTTACTAACTATTAAAATAACAGTCTATCTCAAATTTGTAAAACGACCACATAAACATAGTAATGAGCAAAACCAGCTTAAGCTGTTCTGAGGTGGGATCTTGAAAATTAGATTCTTGAACGATAATACTCAGAAAGCTTGTTTTTCTGATCATTATTCTTAGAGTACTTACATAAGGTAGTCTATTTATTTAGTGTACTGCTCTTTCAAAAGAAAATTCCCTGGACATAATTAAATTCATCCACACACCACATTTCAGAAGCACAGAAACAGGAAACAGACCACTTTTTACTCTTCCTGTGAAGTGAGAGTAACATCATATAAATCTTGAAACTGATCCTGGTGCTTTCCCAAAATTACAGGCGGCTTATATATGAAGAAAAAAAGTATTTTTATGGCTATTAATACAAAACAACATCTTTTCTTGATATAGCTTGACAAGACACAACTATACAAGAAACTGAAAAAGAGCAACTGTTTACCACCAGGAAATCCACGTCATTAAAACACAGGAAGGGAGGTTAATTTGAAGGCAAACGGGAGAAAGGTTTGAAACTGTTATTAATCTATTCACAAACTCAGAAGGGAAAGAGACCAAAATCTTTCCTCACTATTCCCTTTAGAGGGATTTATTCTGACTTAAACTATTACCAAAGGCACTATTGCGAATTTTAATAGAATAAGACAAGGAAGTGCTCTACAAAATAGCTTGATACAAAATTTTCAACTGCATTATAGAATCTTTTGTTGTTTTTTAGCACAGCAGAAAGCATTATGTGACAGTGCATGAAGTGCTTTCTTATGCAGCAGAGGGACAGAACTTTGGAAAGGACCTGCCAAGAGCACACAGAAGTCAATTCCAACAACATGCTGCCCACTTCATGAGACAGTGTAAGACCAGCTTCACATTTCATGGACTTTTATGCTCATAACTCTCTGCCGTAAGCTTGTGGGAAAATAACACAATTTTGTGAACAACTCTGAATTACTACAATGCTGATAAGTAGCATACATTGATTAATATTACATGTTTGCAACACTCAGATTTCAATTTTCACAGAATCACAACACGAATGAAGCACACAAAGACCTCTAATTCAAACAGAATAAACTTTCAAACACTTCAGAAACTTCTGTAGTAATACCTAAGTGTATCTTAATGTATATATGTAGTAGACATTGTAAGATACAAGTGCACCTATAAACAAATTGTTTCAACACTTAAACTTGGTTTCCTTTATGCTTTTGCTGAATGACTGCCACACAGATTTGATAAAGTAATGATACTCCCAATGTTGAGTGCAACACTATGTGCAATAATGTCTTTGACAGAAATAAATCCTACATTTTTGCTGTTTTCCATATTGTCTTCATTTCATAGCTTCCTTTTTGTTACACAGATCTTACACTTGATCAGCTGCAGAACAAATTTGTGATGAATTTTAAAAAAAATGATAGGAGACTGGACTTTATCTGTTATAGTGAATCAAATAATGAAACTGGAAGCACACTGGTTTTGTTAATTTGGTCCCTGTGCACTAGAAACAAATGGATGGTAATAGCAGTGGTTGGTTTACCTTGCTATAAGCAAAAAGTACTTTTAAAGTTCTCACATGAACGGTTCAAAGCAACAGAGAATTTATTGGAAATATAAGCGAGATTTACAGAGTGAAGGTCTGTTAAGGTTCTAACCATCTCTAATCCTTTCCCACCTACTTCTACATAAACCCACAACTCAAATGGCCATTGACACGTACAGTCTATGCCCTACACTAATACTTTGAATACAATTTGAAGCTGTGACATTGAAAATACTCTTGTATAATGCCATATGCAAGAAGATAAATTTAAATGGTTCTACTGCAATAATCGTCTAGCAACCTGCCTTTTCCACATGTGGATTGAAGAAGACAGGAAAGGAAAAAGCCAGATTTGCATGGCATATATAAAATATTTAAATGAACTTGTGACTAATTATAGAATAGTGTAATCCAAATAGTTTTCAGTACAGTGGGAGATAGACAACAGGTTAGCAAAGGCATATAGTGCCTTCGGAAAGCTTCATAAAAGAGTTTGGCAAAATAAACACTTGAAGAAAAGTCCAAAGATCAGTGTTTACAGAGCCATAGTGCTGTCTGCTCTCTTATATGGGTCCGAATCATGGGTCATTTACTGCCACCACCTGCGACTCCTAGAACGCTTCCATCAACGCTGTCTCCGCACAATCCTAAACATCCACTGGCCACATAATCCACAGATTATGTGACCAACACATCTGTTCTAGAACAGGCAGCAGTCACAAGTATTGAGGCCATGTTGCTGAGAACACAGCTGCATTGGGCAGGGCACATCTCAAGGATGAAGGACCACCGCCTCCCTAAGATCTTGCTTTATGGTGAACTTGCCACTGGCTGCTGCATGAGAGGAGCCTCGAAGAGAAGATACAAGGACTCCCTGAAACAACATCTCAGCCTTGGCCATATTGATCAACATAACTGGTCTACTCTGGCCTCCAATCGGGAGGCCTGGAGACACACCATCTATAACGCTGCTGATGCCTTTGAGAACGCACGCAGGATCACCCTTGAGGAGAAAAGGCAACACAGAAAGAATCGTGCCTTGCAGAATTTACCACCTAAGGAGTCTTTCTGCTGTGCCTTTTTCAATTGGAAATGCCTGTGTCGTATTGGCCTTTTTAGCCACCGATGTGTTTGTGACAAACGTGGGTAGAGACCTTTCCCAAATCTTTGTTCGCGAAGTCCAGCCATGATGACAGTGGGTCACATAAAATTTTTCTGGTTAGGTTTATACTGTGTTTATATTCTCCCTCAAGTATACTTAAATTTGGTTTAATGTAGTGATTTTCATACAACCTATGTCCCAAAACACAATCCTCCTCAGTAAAAAATAATGTAGCAATGTTGTAAGACAGGATTCACCACTACAAAATTTTTAATCAGATCAAAGTCTGGAAGCCAAGTAAGGAAGAAATCTAAGACTACTTTGCTCACGCTACTTCACAACCACCAGAAAATGTCCTTTCCATTTTAATTTTTTGCGTGATTAACAAATGTAAGTATTCACATGAAATGCAGCACATTAAAAGCCTATGTATTTACCATGATCCTTAGTTCCCATATCTGCAAAAAATTAATGTAGAACAATTTTCCCCCAAAATATTTTTCATGACCATTTTATGCAACAAATTATTCTGGTCCATACCTGCAGACCTGCCAGTTGAGCAGCTGACTTCCCTTTGAGGCAGAGAATGAGTGCCACAAATGCATTTAAGTCCTCCAGAGAGAGGCTATTGACCTAAAACAGGTGAAAAAATAACACATTATCTGAAGGCTCTGAAGAGAAACTCTCCTGAAAATTGACTCCTCTTGCTCAAGCACATCAAACTTAGATCAATGACCTCATGGAATTATGACCATCACGAATGCATTGTCTAGGAAAATACACTTTCAGGGAACAAAATACTTTCTTTCACAACTTGAAAGAAATGCATATCTCAATATTTGTGTATAGTGTATATACATGGATTTCCACACACCAAAAAAAAAAGCCCACCCCTCTTTATTCCCTTTTCCGCTTCCCTTGAAGTTTCTTAGTAACAGGAAATAACTTCATCTCTGTAACATCAAGCATAGTAAAAAAATGAGATTAAAAAAAATTGCTTTATAATTAACATCCAGGATAAAATCCTCTTCACTGAGCCACAGATGTGATGACTATTGTGTTTTTTTTTCAAATGCTTACACAGTTATCTGTTGGAAACTTTAAAAATAATCTAAAATATTTAATTGCCTACTTTTACCTGAATTTCAGGATTTTTAGGCTACAAATTGAAGTGGGGAAAACTCAAAACTTTGAGAAAACTACATCTAAAATGTTCAAGTGGGGTAACATAAAGAAAAATTCTGAATTCATGTAACAGTTCACTCTAATACTTCTATGACTGAAGGGGGAATGGGGGCTTTTTCTGCTGTGAAAAGGTGTTCTGACATTCTATAGAGGCACAGGGTCACCTCAGGAGAAAGACAGTGCCTTGAGACCAGCTGGGATGATCCTATGACAATACCAGTTCAGTTCTGATCCTTTCCTTCCTCTTATAAGAGCATTATGCACACCAAGACCACATATCTGTTACAACTGTTGAGGCTATAAAAAGGGCTTTAAAGCAAGATCCATAAAACATTACAATTCCTTATCAATTGGAACTTGAGGAAAGGTTTCTCTTGCAAAATGTGGAAATGTGCATTGTGGGCTTACAGAAAAGTTAAAAGGCCGCCTAAAACTCTGCATCGCCTTTCTTTAAACAGCTTAATTTTGGGGGAATGTTTTGTACATTCTATTTCAATCCATTAAGAGCTTCTATTTAGTGACAGATAAAACGAAAGAGAGAAAAATTAACAAAAAAGTATTAATGTAAATCAACAGGAAAAACCCCCAAACATTAAGAAGCCATCTATAATTATGTCATTCATTTATTTGCTTAGGAGAAGTAACTCATTCTTTCCTCCTCAGGATAAAAATTATCTAACCACTACTGAGAATTTTAAAAAAATTTTTAAAGTCAGGCCTTGCGTTTTTGCACTGCAAAATACTTTCCCCTCTATGATGCTGCTAAATCTTGCATAAAGCACAAGAATGGGAGGGATATTAGAAAAAATTTAAGCTTTCAAAATGCTCCTTGGTATTCATTAATTCCACCTGTCTGCTAAGATCTGATAATGGCCTTACTTTATCCTGTAATTCAAGTCAGATGTCACCTTTGTGTAGACAGCAAGAAGAGTTTTACTGAACCTGCACATTTTATATATTGAAGTAACAGAAAAGTGACTTCCACCTACACAATAATTCTCAATACTTGTACAATTTTGTGCTAAGAAAAGGAAATCAAATATTGCTTGCAAGTACAACAGCAAGAAAATGCCTCTAAGAGAGCAGAGGAGCCAAAACACTTACAAATGTAAAACCACTCCTTTGGAGAAATATTTTATTCAGTAACCAAACTTGGAGAGTTACCACAATTCCACTGTCAGATTTATTCCAAAACCATAAGAGATTGAAAGAGATATTTCTCCTTTCTTTGTAGACTTCACATTTTGATATTTGAACTCATTCACTCCTTTCCCAACTTTAAAGACAGACCTGTTATTTTGTAAATTTTTGTTCTTAATTTGGAGGATATTTGAAAAGTACCCTCACTGAAAAAAATATTTTTCAAATCAACACTTTCTTTACATATTTAAGGTTTATTACATTTTTTCTTACTTTAAAAAAAAATGAATTTTTCATTAAATATTTGCACATAAGTTTTGAGGAAGCCAGATGGATTGGCCAATATGATGGTTCCCATAAAAACCTAATTTTTAGGTTAGATTGAATAATGAGGAATAGAATTTTTAAGAAGTTTATTCTCCCTCGCATGAGTTGAAGGAAAGCTTGAAGCCTGCTTCAAGGTAACCTACAATTGGTCAACTTAAATAATTTTTGAGAAAACAATCCACCTTCCTTCTCTAATAGAAATTTAAGACTCAAGTGTAAAGTAAAGACAAGAATTAGATCACAGTTAGACAAGCATTGTTTTCTCAGCTATAAAACAAATGGAAGCAATGCGGACAGCTCAAAGCATGGCTGCTGACACTCTTGCTCTCAAGTTTTCCTCTCCAACACCCCAGGAGAACAAATGGACAATACTAGAGAAATAAGCAACATTTAAAAAAACTCAGCAATGAAAAACGTTTAAATCCGAATTGATTCCCTAGTCTCGTTCATAGGGTAGATTGTATCACGGCAACTCAGAGACCAGAAGAGAATCAGAAAAACAGGACAGATGTTGAGAAACTGGCACCACCATGAAAAACCTTCCATCAAACTAAGCCCTTTCCATGATCTCTCTGCTATTATTGCTGTTGAAAAGAAGAGTTGTGAAACTGCTTTCATCTCTGTTTTTAACAGAAGCCATTGGATAATGAGTTCTGAAAACCATTTAGTAAAACCATATTCTGAAAACCATATTAGTAAAATTTAAAAGCATTTTTTAAATTTTACTAATATGCTGTGATCAAGGGTCAGTAAATCCACATTTCTGTAGGTGTTCCCTCCTGTTACTCCTCTTTGTAATCCCACTAAAGAAATCCTTCTCAAACACTTTAGTTATCATGCTATGAAAGATTTTGCAGGATAGCACAATAAATAAATGAAACAGTGATAACAGATAAAGAAATGAAACTGCAATTTCATATTCAAATATGAAGAACACTTCAAGTATGTTAAAAGCTTGGTACATGATATGTATCTTGCTGAATTTAAACTGTAAGGCATGAAATGATGTTTAATGAGTTTCATCTTCAAAAAACCTTCAATTTATATTCTGTGATACAAAAATTAAAGAAGAAAAAAAAGAGCTATATGAATCACTTGTATAATTCCCACATGTATTTCCTCAATGTATCATTTAAATTTGAGTAAACACAAAAAGAAAGGAAAAGTAAGGGAGAACTTGTTTTCATGTATCACATGTCAGTATAAATCTGCTATTGAGGAAAGTGAAGTCTGAGAAAGCAGAACAATAGACAAAATGCAGTTCAGTGCAGGCACAAGTGAAGCAGAGCTTATCAGATTAGATAAAAGCATTATAATTTTCTCATCCTCAGAGAGGAAAATCTGTTTGTGAGATCAGCATTTGAAATGAGGCAAGCACAGACAACATATTAAATACCTAAGAGAAAAGTAAACAATGAAGAAATATGGTATTCAATCTTGTGCCCCTTTTTATTACAATTAAGGTAATCAAGCTGCCAAATATTTGGAATTATAACAGAACTGCTACCTAATGATCCTCTATTACTCAGAATTTAATGAGAAGAGCCATATTCTCAATTCTAGCTTGAAAATGAGTAGATTGACAAGATGGTGTGAAAAAGCAGTGAGAGCTAACTAAATATTTATACTGCTGTTTGCATAGCCTGCATAGTCACCTGAAGGAATGTCTTCTTTTGATGACACAAAGGAAACACAAAAGGAGCAGCTTTAGTTTGCAAACAGGTCCCAAAAACCAGGGGAAATCCCTCAGTTTATACTCTCTCTGTTAAACTGCCCAAGAGGTTTTGTCACGGGCATGTGAGAGTTATGATTAACGACCAAAAAACCTCAAGTATTTCTTGAGCAGGATGGTGCATGTTAAGCAGAGTAATTAAAAATACTGTAATGCAGTACTGTTATATTTGATCAACTATGCCTACAGTAAAGATTAGGACAAAAATCTAGCACAGGCTAGCAAGAAATAGTTTATTAGTCAGTCACATCAGCTGACAGTAGAAGAAAAAGCAACTGTCCCAGTTACCTGCATCATAAGATAGGTCAGCAAGCAACAGAATCCTGCAACAGGTGCTTCTAGAGCTTGGAGTTCTTCCATCTCATCCTGAAGGTGAAAGCATGCCAGAAACGTACTATACCGTTGCTTTTCCACATCAGGTCCTTTGGCAAGCCACAGTGTTTTCAAATTAGGTGTTCCACCTACAAAGGAAATCCATTATTTTATTTTGGCAGCAACAAGATAAAACACGTTTACCTCATTACAATCTGAAAGGAAACAACTGATCTGCTCTTGGTACTCACAAGGATCACAAAGCTGAAAATAAAATGTATTTGACAAAACTTGCATTGGAAAAAAAATAACATAAAAATACGGCCTGTAACTTAAACAAAATTTATTGAATACAGGCATGTTTAAGCAGAATGGACAGAATTAAATTGTTACAACAACATAGAAAACTTTGAGACAGCAGGCACTCAACCTATGCAAAATCAAAGTTTGCCTGCAAGTGTGTTCTTTCTCTTGGGGATCCAGAGCATTAAATGAAGTTCACTTCATCATGAATAGCGATTCAGCAGAAAACAACTAGACCTTTTTCTTCTGTCTCTCCTAGAGCTGGTGTATCCCTGAAGGATCCTCACATTGTCTCCCTTATAATCACCTGTTTTAATTAACAAACTGATCACCTATTCCACTTGCTGGCAAACAGGTATTCTCCATAAAACACTGTGTTGGTATGACTCCTCTGCAGTAGGTTCCAGTTTGGGAACAAAAACCAAGCTGATCTGGTATTTTGCACTCCATAGGCTACTGTATGAAACACTGCTGCAAACACACACAAAAGAACTGCCATCAATTATGAAAAATGTATCTTTCAAGAATTTCTATACTATCATTCATGCTTGTTTCTAAATCCTTAATATTTACCTCATGTTGCCATCTCCCAGCTTGTGACATGTGTGAATGAATACAAAATTTGCTCCTCATTTAAATTACATTTAATCTGTTATCAAAATAAACATTAATGCACGTGAAATAACAGAACAGCTAACTGGTTATGCTTGAGAATCTCAATAAAAGAATTGTACCATAAAGTACTGCTGCTTCTGTATTTAAATAAAACGAGGTGTGAATTTTAAATGTGGACTAATTAAGCAACATTTGGTAACACCTTCTCCTTTTTTATGTGACATGCAGCAGCTGCAGACCAGTTAAGAACACTTGGTGATAATAAATGGTTAAAGTGACAAGGTGCTGAAATCTACATAGACAATGTTTATTTAGCCAGGAAAGCCCATTAACCAAATGGTACTAATTCTTTGGAGAGGGGGAAACTAGAAGAGAAGTTAGTACTTTCTTTCTTTATCTCCCTGATGGATGTTTTCTTTACTACTTTTAAGACTAACTCTCCTGTCAAAAGTTTTAACTATGTAAAGAACTACTATCATAAAATCTATAAGTCTCTAACCTTATTAAGAAAAGGACCAGTTGCTTGATTGTAGGTAGAAATGCAGGTTAGAGATAACACAAATAGCGGCAGTGAGTGGGCCAGTATAGACAGCACCAAAATGACTCAAATTAGTGGTTTTGATATTGGTAATTGTTGCCTTAAGAAAAAAAAAAAGAACCACAGAGACTGACTTCCAGGAATTAAAGCAAATATAGCATGCAGGAAACCAAAACAGAACAAACTTTAAACTTTTCCTATCAAGTCCGAGACAATTTGTACATGGCTTCTGCATATGAAGAGATACACCAGAAATCAGTTAAAGCAAAGTTCTTTTTTGCATCCAGGGTTATATCTAATAATAGAAATCCTTCTTTCTTCAGAATAAAACCATTAACTCTGTCAATATTCAGGATTACATATCTATATTGAGAGAACTCAACAAAAAATTCAAGACATCTCTTCCATAAACAATTCCTTACACTTTCAGAAACATCTACTTGCGCCTGGGAAAAAGAAGTATGGATAAATTATGAGTTATTTAGTCTGGAAAAGAAAATTTGATGCTCTATCCTTTTGGAACACACCAACCAAAGGTGCTATTTTTCTGAGATGATCTCTTCTACAAGTAATAAAATACCATGTAGTACCCAAGACTGATCTATTAACTCTTAAATGAAAGATAAGTAAAACAAAGAAAGAAATACTCTGAAGTTTAATGACTTTCCTATCATACATAAAGTCCACAGTAGATTCTAGGATTCATATACAGTAGACCCCCAAAACTGTTCTCTGCTCTAGTTACATTCTCACTACATAATTTACAGTAATTAGAAAACATTCCTAAAAGAGAAATTTACTTGGATAGGCAGGAGAAATAATTTACTTTCAGAACATGTCTAGATATTTACTAAATTAACCTAAAAAACAACCAATAACAAAAGGAAAACACAGCAAAACATACTTAGGTATATACAATTGATACATCTTTACTGTAAAGATTAGTAATGAGAAAATTATCTATCCTACTGGTTGTAGGAACCTCAAGTTCCTATGAATTACTCAAGTGCTGCATATGCTTACAATTATTGTCAACACACAAAAAACTGTGTGAAAACCATATTCACTATAATGTAAACTGTAGTCTTCAGGAACCTCAAGAAGAGGAGCACCACAAAGACCTTCAAGTAGGTTAAGAGATACTACTTGCCCACACACAAACACACACAACCAACAAGTTAAAAGAAAAAGCATGAACTGAATTACTTTTTATATTTTTTCCTGTATACTCATATATTTAATGAAATTGTCATACGGAAAGCAGTATGACAAACAAAAGCACTTCAAGGGAATACATAACTACTTATTTCATTTGTTTGAATTTCAATTATTGATTTATGAATATGCAATACATGCAAAAGTTGTGGAATGCATTAATTATATGAGATCGTTTAACTCAAGGCTTTTACAAAGATGATCCATACATTCATACCAACTTTAAACAAGTCATCATTCTGCATACAGATATAAATGTATAATATTAACTGTTAATGTATATTTGAAGTATTGACTATTGAAATTTTAGTTTATAACATCAGTAATAGAACTTTAACACTTCTTCAATTTTACACACACAGGTAAATACCGAGTAGTAAAAATAAGCTTATAAAAATGTACTTCTCAACAATTGTGGCCAATTTTAAAGATGCCATAAACCCAAATGCCAATTAAATCTGACCATTAAATAAGTGTTCCAGAGACAGCATTTTGAACCTAAGCATATTCATGTCATATTCCTGTAAGAGGCAATGATTAAAATACTGAAAGTACATCCAAACTCTTTGGTATGAAGCTACAATATCCTACACATTTTCAGAAATTAAATGAACAGCAGAATCTATATATTTCTAGTAAAGACTTTAGAATTTCTTCTGTTCCATATAAATCGCACACATATCAAATATATCTGCTATGTTCACAAGATATGGATGTTAAACAGTATTTTCCTGGATCACAGATCTTCTAATAAAATTAATTTCTTGATGACACTTTTTATCAATTTAAGTGCTACTTTGTCAATGTGTGGGAAACAATGATCATATTCATTCAAATGAAAACAAACATTCCAGAAGCAAGAAAGAGATACAGAGAATGTGAGCAGGCACAGATGTTAATTCAGAAGACTGTCTCTCAAAAAAACCCAACAATATATATATAATACGTATGGTATTTTAAATATATTTTAAGTCATCATCTTACTTACCATACTGCCTTTAAGATTCGATATTTTATTTAAAAACAGAGAGCTAACATTCAATCTATCACCTGCAACTTTTCCTGATACAAGGCAGTTCTGCTGTTTTGTATAAAAGTTAGTGGAAATTCTACCTTTTTTTTAAAGATCAATGCAAAATTTAAAATATTTATTGTTATGTAACTACAGTTCAAAGTTAATAGCTTCTTCAGACTTTTTAATCTAAATCAAATTCAAAAGAGTCAGGATTTTCCATATATTCTCAGTACAGCTCTAAACTAGTTTTGATGATAAGGTTATAAGTTTTTTCAAAAAAGATAAAACAAAGAACCTTCCAAAATTAATTATACTTGTGAATTTTCTAATAGGTTCTTGGTAAAGTTTTTTTTCTCTTTTCACGTAACCTGATCTTGATTGACAGCTTTGAACTCTAACTTCCTATAACAACTTCTTTAAATTTAGCTCTAAATATGATCCCTGTCTGAAAAATGTGATGTGCTGTTGAGGACCTTATATGGTGAATTAGAAAGTCATGCTGTGGAAAATCAAAGATGCATGAGTGAATGTAAGGCATACAAATATGGACTGTAAAAATTTTAGAAAAATATTTGTTCGCTGAAGGAATGACAACAGAGGACTAAAAATAAACACTAAAAGTCCTCCTCCCCTCTTTTAATAGTCTGCTTGAACAGCCTTTCATTACTGAATTTGCAAAGATTATGGCTGAGAAGATTCTGTTTTTATAAACTCCACTTACGTGGTTGCTATAAAGAAACAAACACAGTGATTTTAAATCCTGTTTATTGTCAACATAAAGATGGGTTCTATGTATCATGTTTGCAGAGCTGTAGAACCTGAGAGTACACGAGATTAAGTGGATTCCTCTCCAGAAAGGGAGGAAGGAAGTATAATATCTGGGATTGAAAACTTCACAACAATAAATACAGTATATTTGCCAGGCAATTTGAAGTGTAGGTGTGGTTTATACTTTGTCAAATTTTGTTTCCCTCTTTTACAAATGCATGTCCTCAGACCATTGTATGCTGAAATAAAACAGTTGTACAGGACAGACTCATCAACTTTTACCCTGCATATTCTTATCCATTTGCAAAATTTCACAGCAATTTCATGCTATCACAAAGCGAATTAGATAATCACCATCCTAATTTTGTATATGGGGTACTGGACAGTGAAACCACTGTATATCAAATAAAAACTCATTTGTACTTTGTCTATATAAATTATTTCTTTCCAAACAGCCCTTTAAAAAAGATTTTGAAAAGTCTGATATCTAAAGAGCAACTGGTTTTCTTTCATCCTTGAATGTGAAGACTCTCATTAAACATATGGGTTAGGATACCTTAAAAGAAAATTTATTATGTATTTATAAAAAAGTGCATGCATTTCAACTTTTTCTGAATCTGGATTTACAGCAGACAGAACAAGGACTACTGCAGAAAGCTCTGGTGCTGAGGGAAGAAGTGCTGGTGATTATTCTCAAAAAGTTGAGTAGATAACTCTTCTTAACAGATATCAATGTTATTGTAAATCAATGGAACAAATTCATGTCATACAAAAGACTAAAAAAGCTTTCGTGCTGCTGATCCATGTGATAGCAGATGACTAGACAGAGAGATAGAGCTGTGAGAGTAAAGGTGACTACAATAGCATGGACAAATGAACAATCACAACAATTTTCCCTCTGAAATAAAAAAATTGTTACAGTACTGTTTACTTCCAATCCTAGACTTGTATTGCATGATACCATTTAGTGACATAGACAGTGCTCAATCTTTTCACTTAAGTGTATTATACTTTCTCATAAATATATTTCTCATAACTCTAATTTCACTAAGAGTGTTCATTAATGTGTTTTTTACCAAAGGGAAGAAGACAAAACACACAAAGCTTGAGGCTTAAGACAATAGAAACAGCTTGACAGAAACAGATAAGCTAACTATTTTTTTTATTGAAAGCTGGAATCTCTTTTTGGGTTGTCATAGCTGATCTAAAAATTACTCTTCTCTACATTCTCCATCACTCTCATTAACACATTCTGTAAAATAGGTAAATGCACAAATTTTAATATGGCCCTGCATACCACCTATCCTGGCCTTAGAGCAGTATTTAGAACCTCTAAGAAACTGTTTTAAGTTTAGAACTGATGTTCGAATTAGCACTGGGTTTAACAAGACACAGCAATAACATGTATCTCAAAGCTGAATCCTATTATAATTACAAAAAGCAATTACAGGCATGCAGCACTTTAGCTCCTTGTTCTCCACAGTCATTCTGGATTCTATATCAAAAGGATGATGATGGATTGTCTAACTTCATTTTAGTGAGGTCATTCTTTCAGTTTAGACTTAAACACATATTTATTCTACCTGGAACACAAGGTTGTACAGGTTGTATTAGCTCCGGTTGCTTGAGAGGATTTCCAAAATAGACAAACCACTCTTTTATCAAAGGATAGGCTCCACCTAAAAAAGACAGAATTGGATTAATAAGTCAAATACAAGTATTGACACTAGTAAGCAGTTGTGACCAAGAAAAAAGTTTTAGCAACTTTATGACAAATCAGAGCAAATGAAGAGAGCTTCAATCATGTACTATAAACATGAGTTCAGAGTTGGGAACTGCAGCCGAAAATATAACCACAAGAGTCTGTAGAAAGCATTTGAAAACAGCTTTAGGCCTTCCCAGTATGAGGCAGTTCAGGAAGCTTTGGAGGCATCTGGCATAGCTTAGGGACCTACATGAGCTACCTCAGTCTCAGGACTGTCGCACTGCCACATACGCAGGCAGTGCTTAATACGATTCACCTCCCAACTTCCCCTGACATCTCCTGTGTTAGGGTTTGAGCCAAAATCTTTATAAGTAGGCCTTGATGGCTATTTGAAAGCTGACAACGATAGAGCCATGATAGAGCCATCCCATCGTAAGATGTAGAGCTTTTACAGCCCATTGTTCAGACCTTTTATCTAGTATAAAGGGATTGTTTATGCATAATAGCTCAAGTGGCTTCCTAGTCCCTAACCTCAACTGTGCCCTGCCCCCCACTAAAGAGTAGGGTGTATCTTAAACTAAAAATGTCAGTACTTGAGTTGTGCATCTAACTACTTGATGCTTGGGAAAAAAACTACAAACCAAAAAAATACCCTCAGATAAATACCAAGAATTTAACCATTTTTCAAATGCAGTCTATCCAATTTACGATAGTCAGCTCAAAATCATTCCACTGCAGGTCTCCATAAAAAAAAACCAACAAACAAACAAACCCAGAATCATTGTTTTTATAAATGGTGCTTCTGTATTCTGTCCAGATTTTGCTTAAGGTAATCATGTCATAGTGCCCTAAATTTCTACTCTCTACCGTCTGATAAACAGTATAACTTAAACAGGTTTAGCTGGTCCTGGGCATTTGAAGTAGTGTTTCAGATCTTTTCTTCTTTTCCTTCCCTTGTCCTTTTGAGGTTCACAGAATTGCATCTCTAATTCCTTCCAGCTCTCACCCTGTGCTGAAGCCACTGTTCTTAAAAATTCCTGCTTTTTATCATGAATTCCAATCTCCCTGCAATTTACTGCACAAGTATTTCTGATGCCATGTTGTGAACCTTAATCAAAAACTTCACCAAATTAAAACAAACCAAACAAATCTCTCCAACACTGACCTTCCATTCTCCACCCAAAAAAAAGTTTTGTCACATGAATTTCCTGATCTTGTTTATAGCTCAGTGCTGGAGATGACTGTTGGCAGGAATGAATGAGTAGTGTCCTGTAGTGCAAGGGCAGAAATTCCTCAGATGGAATTCTAGTGTCAGGGACAAGGGACAGGGAAAAGAACATGACAAAATCTGTTTTACAATCCCTGCTTCTTCTTCCTTCCTTCCTTACCCACGGACCTGCAGCACAAACTCCCAATAAAGGTGAGGAGGGACTGAAGAACCAACAGATGGACTATGGGGGACAGTATTACACCTAGCTTGCCACGTCTCACTGTTATAAAAAACTGATGACATTGAGTATAAAATTAAAAATGCCTACTCTAGGGGAAAAAAAGAGCCTTAAACTGTACATTCCAGTGGCTGAATAGTCTCACATTTTGATTACAAATCATTGTCTGTGATAATGCTATTTCATGCACAAACCCCTCCAATATAATATCCCAAAGTCACTTTCAGAAACATTCTGATGTTTTAGCATTGTTTTAAGATTTAGTACGTATTTATTCAGCTCATTCAGCCTCCTAAATTTTAGTCTAGTTTCTTAAGGAAGCAAACCTAATAAAATTAGGACTTCTGTCTTATAATGCACTGTTCTGTTTCAACTAAATCTGACAAAGCAGAAGTGATTCCAAATGGATTAAAGTCCTAAATATTTTGTGAAACTGGTGACTCAGATGACAGAGGGATCCTATTAGGGCACCAACCGAAAAAAAGGCAAGAAAGTCAACTTATCTGTTTTATCCAAACAGACTAGAGGGTAAATCAATACACAAGTAGCTGTAAAAAAGCTAGAGCTGAGAAAAAAAGGTAGATGGGATTTGGAAATAGCAGGGAGCAATAGAGAACATGCTTAGGAACACCACATATTGCACAAGGGAGTTGTCAAGGACATGAGAAGAAATTAAGATGCTGGGAAGAAGCACGGAAATAGAAAAGCTTTGTTGAGGGGAAACTGGCAGTGAGCATCACTCTTTGTGAGTTCCACAGTTCACAGAAAAACTTATCAAAATGTGTCTTAATTCTAAATACCAGTGAAATGCCAACCCTCTCTGCATGGAAATAGCTCTGGAAAAAAATCCCTAACCCTTTCACCCAGCACACTTAAAGAGTATCAGCAGTGAAATTTAAGAAATAACGTTCCTTTGTTTAAATAGATTCTGAATAACCTGTGGAAGCAATGCTTAGGTAGCCTAAGGAAAGTTTCAACTATGTGCAAAACACAAGACAGCTGGAAAATGCTGTTACATGTGTTTCTCTACACCTGCAATAATGCCAGCCCTCCTGAGTGGTCACTGGTGATAACCGGCAAAAATTCTGCTAGTGAAATGTTTTTGACCGTGTCAAAGTGAGAATCAGTCTAGCCTGCTAATGTTAGAACTGGGAGTGATGCCAGGACTTCCAGGAGCTGGCCACGGGCTTAGGCTACATTACATAATGTCCTAATTGGCAACGGTCATGCAGGTGCAGATATTTCCATAGGCTGTGTTAGTGCCAAAACCTGCTGGCTTTATTCTGAACTCTTTGCACACACAAGAAAGAGGTTGGCTGGCCTATCAAGATACATTATTTATTATTATTTTGCCCTCCTACTTGAATTTTTCCAAAAGTACTTTTTATAGGAAGGATGCTAAAAAGTTGACAATTTATATCACTATATGGAATATTTCAGGTAATAATCAGAAATAGCTCAATTAAGCATAAATGTACTTTTAAAATAGGCAACAAGTGGCATGTTATCAGAATCACCATCAGCCCCCTGATGGTGATTTTTTTGGAGGGTCAAAATTAAGGCTGTGATTCTGCAACATTTCCATGAGTAGAGATACATACATGCTTACCGTACGTCAAACTATACCAAAGCCATGAGCAATTCTTTCAGCAGCACTGCTAACTTTTACAGGAGGCCGCTGATTTGCTCACTCCAACACTCTGCCATTCCCTTGGGATGTTTCACCACAGCTATATGTGGCTACACAGATTCAGATGGGGAAACAAAACCAGGTTAGTTACCTGACTGCAAGAAAGGGAGGGAAGAGAGAGAGAGAGAGAGAGAGAGGCTATTTTCAGTTTCTCAAACTAGGCCACCACACAGCTGCACAAACAGCTGCACCAGCACAACTGAGAGGATGCACAGAGACTGAGATGAGTGGCTGTGTAAGAGAATTACTTACACTGGCAGCAAAAGAAACACTTATTCCACTATGGTTTCAGGCAAAGTGGCATGGTATAGGCCAATGGTTTCAAAGGATATCAAAGGATATCAAAGGTTTCAAAGGACATCCTGCTCCTATGGATTTGTGGGTCTCTTAGGCACCCTTGGAAATCTCACCCTAGATGTTCAAAACTAATAGTATCTTATTTCAGAGTAGAGGAGACAGTTTACATTATATTTAACCTGTTTTTACTAAAACTGTAACCACTGTTTTTACTAAATGTGTAAATAAGCAGATTTGCAAACTGCAAGGAGGTCAGTTTCCAACACAGGGTAATTGACAGATATTAAGGAATAAAAAAAAGGATCACTAACACATACATCACCACTGCAAACTGGAACATTGTGTAGAGTTAGCCAAGTTAGCTTCAAATTTGCTACATCAGCAGCTGTATCATTATGGCAGCAGAGTCCACATGGACTAATCTAATTGGTTGTATTGTTCCAGTAAACTCCTTTTTAATGCTAATCCAAAGTGATTCTGCATTATACTACAACCCACAGACAGTACTTCTTCCCATCCAACCTCTTACGAAACTACAAAAAACCAGTCAACTTGACCACATCTGAGGGAAACTGGCAAAAGATTCTACTTACTTGGTATAGAACAAAACTTCCTTGCAGGTTTAGCAGTGAATCCATAAAAAAATAATGTTTACACTTACTTATGAATTCCAATATAGACTCTGACTAATGATCTACACTCTTGACTTAGAAGCAACTATACACTGGAATACAAAAACAATCCATGAACTACTAGGAAGTGACATGGTTAAAGCAATTAGAGATAAATAAACACACTAAAAATGCAGATTTAATAGAGGTGTTATGCAGACACACTCTACCTACCTTTCTGGAAGGGTTAAGAATTGAGGGGACACTATTATTTATTTTAGAAAATTATCTCAAAAATGAAATATATTTGAAGCCTGAACTAAGAATAAATAATACATGCTACATGTGGTTTTATTCTAAAATCACTTTCTTAAAAGAAGACATCTTTCACATTCAAATTTAATTTTCAGTATGATTCTAAATTAATGTTTCTGTATTTCAGTTCTAATCTTGGAGTTCTAAACCCACTGTAACACAAATGTAGATCTGCCTGTTACCCTGACATCTCACAGCAAAAAATTGTTAATTAGAAATTTTGGTCTGGGTGTTTCTGAAAACATCAGTGAATATCCTGCTGCTTAGAGGAATAAACAAAACTCAGGCAAGTTATAATTGTCTACAAAATGTAGAGGTAGCAGGCCGAAAAATGAAAAATGACAGATATGCATGATTACTGCTGAGATTTTTGTTACTGTCTCCAAATGACTATGTAAACTCTGATTCAGTTTTTCCTATTTTTTTTTCCTATTATGGCACAACTTCAACCTCTGGCTGCTGAAGGAAGTTATGTACTTAATTACCTTTCTGTGCCTTTCTAAGCAAATATTTTGAATATTAGGTTTGGTGGCGGTGCACTTTCATCAATAAAATGTAAAGTGATTACTGTGGAGAAATCAACATATTCAAAAGAACAAAAGTTCAGTACACATTTTATTTTCAACTCACTGCCTGAAAGACACTGTAAAGATAACATTTAACTAATGGAAGTCTTAAGAACACGAAATTTTCCAAGGATGTGAATAAAGAACTCTCTGTCTTGGAGCAGATGAATAGAAGCACAGATATATGTACCTGCTACAGAATCTGTTTATACCCCTGGATAAAGAAATCATATTTTCTTGCACTTGGATGAAAGAACTAATAATCGCTGGCATGACTACTTGCATTTGCATTATTACAGTAACTATATTTGACTGGTCTTAAAATTGCAGACTTAGAATCAACAGAACATAAAATTTTAACAGTGCATTATTGTTTCTGCAAAAGCTTATTACAACTCACTAATTCATCAGAAGCCACACTTACCAAAGCAACATAAGGTTTCATACACTCTTAAATCTTCAAAAATCTTCTAAAGATCATTGTTTTGCTCAATCTTTTGATCATTAACTACTTTCACAACTTCCCATTTAACAAGGAAAAAATCCCCAATTTTTTAAAATCACTTTAAAATGGAACAGCATGTAGAAAAAAGCCCACAATTTCACTGTCACATTTTCTCTTGATTGCATAAGAAGTACACTTCAGCCGCCCAGAGTTTTTATCCTAAATGCCGTTTATCCTAAATGCTGATGTAGCCACTGAAGCAATGAATTCAAGATTTCATATTTCAAAATTGAACATATGCTTGAATAATGACGTAAGTAGTTTAATTCTTACCTTTTCCAGATTCCAACAAGACAGAATAAATATGCTGACGAGCAGGGCGGTAGATAAGTGACTGTCCAGGAATTTCTGTATCAGAATCATCTTCCAAAGAGTTGCTGCACTCAATAACTCCATTACTCAGGATATTGAAGACTGAATAATTTTCAGATTGGATATGCTGTTCTTTAGCTAACTGTTTTTTCAAAGGAAGAAGAAGGCATTATTTCCAAAAATAAGAAGGATCAAAATGTAACAAAATGTATTTACTGTTTGAAGAAATAGTTCTTTTTCTATCAGTGACAATAGACGGAATAGCCAGGGAGGGAACAAGTCCTTTTTCAAATAACACCAGTATACTGTAGTTTCAGACCTCTATCTTTTTGTAGACAGGAATCCCCAGGAAACTTGTTATTGTCTTTCTTAGCCACTCTTTTAATTCTTAAAACTTGGGAGCTTGAATGACAGTTTTTTAGAGAGTAATTATTCTTAAAATGATTTCTGAATTCAGACATAGCTGTCCTCCTTTAGTCACCTGAAAATGTATCTTCTCTCTTTAAATAGTGAGTGAAGGCATGATAAACCCCAAACTTCTAATTTTATTGCAAGATGAACTACATAAGACAACTCTATTTCTTCCCTGTGCTGACTTTGTGCAGTTTACATTCTGGCAAAATCAGAATACTTAACTTCATGACACATTTACTTTGCAATAGCTCTTCCCCATGTACAGAAATGCAATCCACTCCAGGAGGAAGTGAGGAATCCACTTCCAGTGAGGAAACCCAGGTCTACAGGCTGCTGCTGTAAAGTAGAGTAACAGCATCACCCAGGCTGCATATCAACCATGCACTGGATGCAGATACATCTGGCTACAGCAACAGGCTAACAGAAGCCTCAGCTTAGATGCAAAAGCAACAAAGCTGCTCCCAGGCAGTGCAGAATTTCAACCAGTAACACTTGGAACCTGGACTGGCCAAGTGGAGACCCAGACAGACTTTCTACTTCACTACCTCAGACCAAAACTATGGGGGTGTTCAAACAGCTGAGCAGAGTGAATTATTTCCATGTGGTGCCACTAATAAATTCTTCAGGACCCATGCCATATGGTGAGCAGGCACTGACGTCTCTCTGCTCTGCATTCCCTGCATGTATCACACTATCTGTATTACTTGGGTTGTGCCATCCATGCAGCTATCACCGCCTCTTTCACTGTCAAATTAGCAGACCACTGGTCAGAGTTCACCATTCACCATTTCTGCAGAATTCCGGTATCTGCAAACCTGTGAACTCAGCGGGCCAAGGCTGTAGTCAGACACTGGGTCAATGCTGATCAAAACTAATTCTACTGAAATGTCATATTTTCAGAAGAAATTCTCACATGAGCGTAAAATCAATGATAGGCTTCTGTGAACAATGCCAATCAACAGAGCACTTGCTTATAGCAATAAATTAATGGTTGCCCTGAAAGAAATATTTTAGTGTTCCTAATATGTGTAAACAATGTAATCCCCCAAGTCTACTTTTGCATAAAATAAAAACCAGAATTAAGTATTTCTAAGTATGATTTGAATGAAGCATTAAACTTTTTCATACAAACCACTGTCACAGATATGGGGTCATTTAAAAATACTGCTTTATTGTAATTTGCCAATAATCTACATATCCTCATGTCCTGAAAAAAATACAAGCTGATTTCAGAAGTATTGCTGTATTCAGTGCTGTATCTTGAAAAATATTTCTGATTCATACCTACAGTCAGCCAGAAAGTTGTGCTCTTTTTTCTGAGAGAAAGAGCAACACAAGGCTACGTCCTCACAGTTGGAATTAAGAAGTGTGTCTCATTTGCATGCAGTTCAGATTATGTGCAATGTAAGCAGAACTACATATGGGTTTCAAAATATGAAGCAAAGCACACACATTACATAAACAAATATTTAAACACCTGTAACAAAAACAAAAGAGAAGTTAACATGTCTAACATTTTGACTTTAATTTCCTTGGCCCAGGGACTGTCTTCACATAGGATTTATGCAGCAACGTTGAAGAGGCATTCTTAAATGGAGTTTCTAACCATTATTATTTTATTACAGCAGTAGCTCAGCATGATGCTAGAGAACTGCAACTCTTCAAATGAAAGATCAAGCTAAGAAATAATGACCACTTGTCATAAAGACTGCATGGTACATTCTCTTAAGGAATAAGGATATTGCCACTATTGTCCTGGCCATAATCCAACGTAGATAATTACATTAGGGCTAATTTTTCCTTGCACTTCAAGCATAAACAGTATTTTTCAACACTTTATTATGATGTATGGTTGCTGATTTTTAAAATGTCTTCTATTTAACTACAACGGTCAAAAGTGACATGCATTGTACCTACGTGTGGATAATAAAAAAAGCCCAAATATATCTGCAGATTTGCTGAAATTAGCATTGCATAGGTCACAAGGTAGTTATAAAATGTTTTATAGCCTTTTTAAAGGAAAATATAAATGATACGATTACTTTGAAGTAACATGAGGAAACAGAAAAATTGTTTTAAAGAAAATGCTCAAGATAGGTAAGAGAGACAGAGAAAAAGGCTCTATGAAGTCTATGAGAACCTAATAAAATAGGAAGTGACAGATGGCTAATATAGGGTCTAAAATACACTTCCTTGTACAGATTTCCTTTTTTAAATCTCAGTATGTTATCTTAAATGCCATGAATTTACAGAATTGTACTCTAGACTTACTACTATTGCATAAATTCTGATGCAAGGTAGCTCATTTTCTATTAGGCTACCCTAAGCTAATATATCCAGTTTCCCAGAGTGACTCAATCTGACGTGCCGTCTCTCACCCCAACACCAGCACGTCCCTGCCCACGTGGGAAGCCATAGGTGAAACTGGAGAGGTGGGCCTGTGCAAACCTCATGAAGTTCAAACAAGGCCATGTGCAAGGTCCTGCACGTGGGTCTGGGCAATCCCAAGCACAAGTACAGGTGGGATGGAGAATGGATTGAGAGCAGCTCAGAGAAGGACTTCAGGGTGTTGCTGGACAAGCAGCTTGACCTGACCAGCAATGTGTGCTTGCAGCCCAGAAAGCCAACTGCATCCTGGGCTGCATCAAAAGCAGTGTGGCCAGCAGGTCAAGAGAGGAGATTCTCCCCATCTACTCTGCTCTGTTCAGACCCCACCTGGACTATTGTGTCCAGTTTGGAACTAGGTGATCTTTAAGGTCCCGTCCAACCCCAGCCATTCTACAATTCTAAGATACAATTCTGTACGAAGTTTCCACCACAATTTCAACTTCTGCATTCTTAGCACAGCTTTCTTTGGCACCTTGACTGCATGTGCCAGGCACAGCTAAGCAAACCACTGACCAGCTTATGGCTGACTTGTTCTCAGAGTAAAAGGAAGTCAATACATCATGTAATACATGGGAAGTACATCTCTATGCCCAGCTATTGGCCTATACAGCAGTTGCTCCACATTATTAGACCTGCTTCAAAAAGAGAACCACTTTTTACTAAATGTGCCACATCTACCCTCATAGTGATGCATGCAATAGTCCTAACCATGGCTCTACTTAACAGACAAAAGATTTTGCACAAGCAAATTTAATTCAGTAGGCTTGGTGTACTAATTACCAACTTCCACTAAGTTGTCATGGCAATAAAGTGATTGCTAAGTTTTAAAAAACAAGTTACCTGAAAGATTTCTTTATCTTGACAGATGGCTGATTGCTGCTGAAGAGATAACATTTGACAATTTGTCACGTTGGGGGGAATCCATGGAGACTGTTGCCCAGGCAAAAGATAGGACTTTACTCCTCTGTAAAGCAACGTTTTGTCTGATCCCAGGGGTAGCATGTCTTCCAAGCGTTTCAGGCTGCTGTATGAGCACGGAATTTTTGAGATGTAATTTGCTACACCTAGAAGTATTTTTGTTCTTCTGTTGTAGCTGTTGTTCTTGTGGGGACTGGTGGTTAAACATTTGTGCCAAAAGCCTTCCAACAAGCTTTCTGGAACAATATCATTGCCAAGCAAGGCAGCAAAGAGAGGGAGGTGTGTCAAACTAATACCCAGCACATTGCAAAGTTCCTCTCGAGAGTACATAACAGTGACCAGTCTGTCCAAACGGAGGTTCTCAATGGAAAAGTAGGGACATGTATTATAGATGAGGTAGTCACTATCTTGCCCCAGAATTCCTATGCAGTTGTGTTGCAAACCATATGCAGCCACCTCAAAGTCTGCCTCTTGCAACGTGCATACTGTTTTTTGACCAAGTGACTTCAGGGCATAACGTGTAAAAGTAGGTAAAGCTGAGGGAAGAACAAACATTTCTCTGCCTGGTTGTTTCCTGTGAGTCTTAATAAATTGAAATAGTCTGGCTATTTCCTTGGTATTATTCCACCTCCGTTTGATCCACTCCTCTCTCTTTTTCTCTTCTACCACTCCATCAAAGTAAAACACCAACTTGATACCAGCTGCCATAAAAACGTTAACAAAATCCTCTAAAACGGCAAGGTACTCCCGCCACTGGCCACCACACACCCAAAATTCTGGTGTGTACCAGTATCTAACACAACTCATGGCATCTACTACAATAACAGGTGGGAAATCAGGATGATTGACACGATGTTTTTCTGCCATTTCTTTCAGATCTACTGTTTTGCACGCATCAGGGCAAACTCTCGACACAAATCCCTGCAAACCTCTAACGCCCATGGCTGTTCTCTCCAAAACTCACTGCAGTCTGAAAGAAGAAAAATAAAAACAACATTCTAAAATGCAATAATAAGAAACATAAAGAAATTCTACAAGTAAAAAAACAGACAGCAGCCTGGAAACTGAACTGCTGTTTTTCTGCTTTTGCTGATAGTTTGTTGCCTTGTCCTGTCCTTGTAACAGTTTGAAACAGTTTCCTTGCCATCAACAAACCAGACGTAAGTACTCATTCATTCTCCCTTCCACTTCTGGTTTTTATATCAGAGAAATAAGTAAATATCAAAAGGTTTTCATAAATATGACAAAAATTTTCAGATTTATAGCCTATAGAAAAGTATGCCTAGGCAGAAAAACAAGTATAGATTTCTTATTATTAAAAAAACCTCAAAACGTGCTTATGGAATTCAAAAAGGAAAAAAAAATAAATTGTGAATTGACAGCTTTTAAAGGCATTCCCGGATCCCCGGAGTTTAAAGATCTAACACACTCCAGACAGAGTTTTTGAATGCCACCCTCTTTAATCGCAGAATGGTTTGTGTTGGAAGGGGCCTTTAAGGATCTCGCGAGCTGCGGGGGCCTCTGCGCCCAGCCCCGGCAGGGCCGGACCCCGCCTCTCCGGGGTCCGTGAGGGGACGGGGACGGGGACGGGGACGGGGACGGGGACGGGGACGGGGACGGGGACGGGGACGGGGACGGGGACGGGGCTGAGTCCGCGCCCACCCCCCCGGGCCCCCCAGTCCCTCCAACCACCGCCCCGCACTGACCCGAGCGGCGCTTCCGCTTCCCTTGGGGCGGGGCCGCGCCTGCGCCCGGCGGCGGGGGCGGTGCCGAGGCGCGGGCAGGGGAGGTCCCGGTCGGGCACGGCCGGCTGCGGGAGGGGCGCCGGGCTGGTGGGACCCGCATCTGTTCCCGCCCGCGGGATGGGGTCCCCCGGCTTTGTACGGCCACGATGGGGCCGGAGAGGCCATTGTGCCCACGAGCAAACCTGGCCGGGGCGGGGGGACGGGGGACCGTGGGGACACGAAAGCGTCGCGCACCGAAATCGCTTGAACCCCCCCCGAGTCGCACACTGGAGATTTATGTCGCTCTTGGGCAGCGCGACCTAAGGGGTGGTGGGGGGGGGCGGGTTCACTTTGCTGTGCCCGGCGATTGCCGGCGGAGGGGAACTCCCGCTTTTCCCCTGGGCGCACCCGCCGCACATCCCGGGCTAGATGATAAGGGCTCGGCTGCGGGCGCGCCGAGAGCACGGCCCGCTCCCACCCCGCCGGCAACAGGTGGGGACCTGAATAACTTCACATCTTTCCGGGAGAGGAGAGAGGGACACGGGAGAGCCGATGGGAAGATTAGATCAGATGTTATTGCCGGTGAAAAATTAAACAGAGCGGTTCTCTGGGGAGCGCAGATTAATATATTTGGTGACTCCATGTGCACAAAGCCTCACCATTGTAGCCGTGTCTGAATGCCTGTGAATAGGATAGAGCATATGTGGCCTGTCACCGCAGGTGCCCACATCTGTTCGTCTCCGGGCAGATGCTCTCAGAAAAGGGGACAGCATTTCCAAAAGCTCAGGCCCGCCCCATCCATATCCATCCTTTTTCTCATAATCACCTTCTGCAGAGGAGTTTTTGCCCCCACCTTCTCTCTCCTCCCTGCCTTCCCTGCCATGGAAGAAAATGCAGAAAGAAATAAAAGCTGTGCAAATTGGCAGTGGCTTGGAAAGCCCTGAAAACATATGATGAAACTGCTCCCCCTTCTCCTCCTCCAGAGTATATTAGCAGCAGGTTTTGCGCTGCAGTCAGCATACAATGCACAAGTTGCACACTCTGTGTGAAGGGGGCTGCAGGCCACAAGGGAACAGAAAAACTCTTCATGCATGAAATGCAGTGCAGTACAGCAACACGCTGTGCTTACTGTCACAGGGAGAGAGCGTTCTGGGCAGCTACTGTCTGGAGTGATAGTTTGCAGCTAATATTTGGAGTTCTGGCTTAAGATGATGCTTAATAAAGCTGAGCAAAAGAAGGAGTTTCCCTGTGAGAACAGGTGAAGGCAGTGAATATTTCTACTGAAGCTGGTAGCAGGAGGGAATCTTTCCAGCCATCCAGTGAAATCTTATGGCCAGAATGCAGAAACATTTTTCTGAGAAGTGCTGTCACATTTTTTTATCCTGTGTACATGATCTGAGCCCTATCACTCACCCTCCTTGTCTGTGACACCCCTGCCAAGACAAGCCAGGCCACAGCGCTACGTGGGGTTACACCAGGCTTGGCTAACAGGGTGAATGGGATGTGAGGAACAGGGAAAATCTCAGAATCATGGGATGTTTTATGTGTGAAGGGACTTCAGAAGGTTTTCTAGTTTAAATCTGTGATTTCTAGCATGTTGAAGATCGTGAGAATCCTTCAATCTAAAGGCGGGCCAAGACGCCAGTACTCCAAATGCGAGGCCGAGCTGCTCCCCAGAGTGACATGGGCATGAGAGCCTATGGATCTCCATGTACCAGAGCAGGGCCCGGGGGAAAGAAGGGTACCTGCCTGGCCCAGGGCACCCACGGGAGGTTTGGGAGACAGTACTGTCCCTGACCGAGAGAAACTCTAGGGCCGGGGAAAGGTAAGGTGGGGGAAGCCCCTAATGTCCTGTCATCCCCAGGAGGCCCTGTGGTTCTGCCCCCCGGCAGGAGTACGAAGCCCTTCACCCTTCCCATTTCGGGAGAAACGACAGCTCACGCACACAAGTGACCAATTTTATCCGTCGTAGTTTCCCACAAGCAAAATCCCGTCGGAAGCAAGCCAGGGAGCAAACCCAAACAAACAAGTATGGTAGGGAAACGAGGCGGGGGAAGTGGGGGGGGCTCGCTTTCTCCTCGTGAGCAAATCTGTAAAACACATATAGGGGCCACTTCGGGATTTGCCCAGGGAAGGGCTGGAGAGCAGCTGGCTGCGGTAATCTCTTCGGGAGACAAAGGAATGCCCCGTCCCAGGATCACAGGTAAACACACAACCATTGTAATGAAAATGAGGGGCTAGGATAGGGCCGGAGCAGATGATTTGCGATTTGAAAAAGGGGGCTGGGGGGAAGGGAAGACCCAGAGCTGCTTATCTATCATCTGGCCTCGCTGTGTGCCAGCTGAGCCACGCGACTGCCCTTTCTTATTCTAATCAGCACATGCCTTTGCAACTTTGGGCTAACCTACACGCTAAACTTCTTAATCCTCCTCCCCGCACACGGCAAGGGCGGCGGAGCGCCCCTCCGGCACCGCGGCACCTCCGCGTCCCCCACCCACCCACCTCGGGTCGGGGCGCCCGGTGGCGGGGCCCGGGGCAGCGCCAGCCCCCCGATCATGCCGCCGAGCCTGGAGCCGACGAGTGAACCAGAGCCCAGGCCCGGCGGCACCCTGCGTGCCCTCCTCCCCCCCCTTCCCATCCCCTCCCGTTCGGCCCGGCCCGGCCCGGAGGGACAGGTGAAGGGAATGTGCGGGGAGGGCTGCGGCGGGAGGGCAGCCGCGCACACATACCTCCGTAGGGAATATAGACCTAATTAAAATATTATGCACACTCGACTACACATAGCTCCACACGTACACGTCCCTCCGCCGACGCACCGTTCACCATATGCCCGGAGCCCTCCGTCCGGGGAAAAATCAAGGTCGCGCGCCAGCGATGGCAGCTCGTAGCCCTAATTAACGCACACGCATATCCCACACTCCACACTCCCCCTTTTGAAGTGACTTTTCCCATAATCTGGCTCGCTTAGAAATAAAAGCTACGGCTGATGGGGAGCTCTAGGCAGCGCTGCTGCGCGGCGCCACCGTAAATCCTTGCCGGGGCGGGAGAGGGGGGCCGGCGTTGCGGGAAGGGTAACAATTAGGGGCAGGGAGGGCAAGCACAATGCTCCACCAGCCCCAACGAGCCGCTAGCAGGCGGGGCCGGACCCGCAGCGTCCCGGCCGCGCGGGGTCACCGCGCCCTGGAGGGACCCAAGGCTCCGCGCCCTCCACTCGGGGGTCCCACTGCCGGCTCACCCCGGCTGGGCGGGTGCGGCCGGGCAGGGCGGCGGGACGGGACGGGACGGGACGGGACGGGACGGGACGGGACGGGAGCGGGCGGTGGTTCGTCCGTCCATCCCCGGCAGCGGGGGTCGGTGTCAGTGCGCGGGCACGGTTTAACAGCGCGGGGGCGGCGGGGGCCGGGGGCGAGCGCGGTGCGGAGACACGCGGTTGGGAGCGAAAAAGCGCCATTTGGTTGGGAGCAGATGGCTGGCTGGGGGGCTGATCGCGTCTAAAGGCGTGTCATCCCCCTTCAGCGAGAATCCCTAAGGGCTCCCCTTGTCTTCGAAATCAATGAAAATTAAAGTGCAGAGAATGGATGAATAGTTAGACCTCGAGTCCCTCCTTTGTTCGCCTCAGCTACTGGTGGGCAGGAGTTAAACTACAACAGCCTCCTATAGAAACACTTAAGTTAAACAGTCTCCCCGTTAGCCCAGCATCTGAAAGAGAGAGGGAGAGGGGGGAAAAAAGCAGAAAAAGGAGCTTTCTGCTTGATTTCCCCAATACAGAATCGCGTGGCATAAATTAAGCCGGAGAAGAATGAGCGCCGTGGGCAGGATCCTGCCGGCTCTCACGGCGCCTTTCAGTCACGCTCAGCAGCGGTAATCGAGAAATCTGTGCCACGTCAATTTAACAAATACCCGGTACCGAAGGGGGGTTGTTAAGGATTTGGGGGCAAGTTTTTTCGGTTGTTTTGTGGTTTGGTGTTTTTTTTTTTTTTTTTTTTCCCTTTCGTGAATCATAACCCCACGCTAATGTAAATTTTTTTTTTTTTTTTTTTTTTTTTTTTTTTTTTTTTTTTTTTTTTTTAAAGCAAGGGGATGCTAGTGGACCAAGTTTCTATCTCGCGCAGATTAAAAGATCCGCAGTGATATATCACTTCTCGCCTCCACCGATGGGCCACCCCCAAATTTCAACACAGATTCTGCCGCTCTCTTCTCCCCGCCCCACTCACTTAGTAAACTCGATATGAAGTGATGTTTTTCTCCTGTCTCCCTTTCCCGGCAATAACGCCACAGCAAAGTTTGCGAAGCAGCGGCAAGCCACTTGAAAAGATGTTGACGCTAGGTGGCAAAAGTAATGTACAGTGAAAACCGGCGCTGCTGCGGGATGCGCCTCCCCGCTTCCCGCTGCCGAGGCTGGGCACCGTGGGGGCGGACGGCCGGGGCTCCGCTCCCTCCTGGGCCTCCTTCCGTACGTCCCTACATCTGCGCGGTGCCTGCGGGATGGCTGCTCCCCTCTCTACCCAGATACAACTCCCGGATAAAAAAACCCAATAAACTCAAACATTCCTGTACATTTAAACTTTCGCTTATGCTTCGACTGGCGGGGAGAGGGGAGAAGAAGAGCACCTGGATACGGATGGCTCGTTCGACCACAATTATATGTAAAAGACGTGCGTTGAGTGGTGAAATGTGGCAAATATCTGGATGCTTGTTTAAGTGCCGGGGGTACCTGGCTGGGTTTGGGGTAGTTGCCACAAAGCCCCAGTAAATGAACGTGGCAGCTACAGTCCTGGAACAGTTGAGAAGAGCTGTGCTGAATGAACTCATTAGTGATTTTCTTTTAATTGGTATTACTCAATGCTTTTACTTTCAGAAGTCTTTAAGAATTTTTTTTTCCTAACGCATTGTAAGATAATTTGTGATCAAGACATCTGCTTCAATGAAAGTCACATTTTGCCATGCAAATGCACGTTTCAACCCAATAAAGTCGCCATAATAAGGCTTTTAGTATGGCATACCTACAGTGAGGTTATTGTAGCCAAATCC